AAAAAAAAAAAAAAGAAGATAATGGGGAACTATGAGGGAGAGAAAGCATTACCAAGGTTGAATTTCAAGATAAAAGTGCAACTCCAGGCATAAACATTAAAATATATTTTTAAGGTTAGATGATATTTGTTCCAGCAAGTTGGACTGGGGAGATGGTTTAGGCATGTAATCGTAGCCCCCTGGAAGGTTGAAATGGGAGGATCCCTTGCGCTTAGGGAGGTTGAGACCAGCCTGAGCAAGAGGGAGACCCCATCTCTACTAAAATTAGAAAAACTAGCTGGGTGTGGTGGCAGGTGCCTGAAGTCCCAGCTAATTGAACACAGGAGTTTGAGATTGCTGTGAGCTAAGCTGATACCATGGCACTCCAGCCTGGGAGAACAGAGTGAGACTGTCTTTCAAAAAAAAAGAAAAGATAGTTGTAGAAAGTTAACAATGTCTAGTTACGTGCAAATGGACCTGTTAGTTACAGTGAGTGGATTGCCTGTAAAGAGCATTATTCTAAAAGGAGAGCTTTTAAAGAAGGCTTTTTGTTTCAGTGTACACGTCTCTTTCACATGATAGATTGCCCCCTCCCAAGAAGAGTTTATTAGGAGTATGTCGCAGTGAGTAACTCCACATGGTAGCTTTTTCACTGAAGAGGTGAATTAGCTTATATCAGTTCTCAAAAGGACACATGTGAACACAAGGTGATTTTAAGATACAAGCAATATAGCCTGCTTCCTTGCAGCCATGTGGCTTCTCCAGTGTCCCCTCACTTCCCCTCATCCTCCAGACAGTGTCCTGGAAAGCTCCGAGATCTTGCCTCCTCTGCACCAGGCTAGGACCAGTGCTGGGGTATGGCAAGAAGCATATTCAGGGTTGCCATCATTTAATCCCAGCTGTGTCTCATTCATGCCTCTGGAAATTATTTTAATTTATTAATGTAATCATACATCATAGGTGGGCTGTGAGCACAGTGTAGAGTGCCCATGACTTTTAATGACCCATGGAAATATTTTAATTTCTTTTAAAATTGGAAGAAAAAATAAACTTTAAGTGGAAGAACATGTTTTAATATATAACATGAATGTATTCATCTTTAGATCATCACAGCTGTACAATATAAACTTTACTAATATATTTTTTAAAGGAAGAAGGAGCCTATGAATGCTGAGGTATGGCCTTCCCTGCTGTGATACAGTAGACTGTCTTTTTTTTTTTTTTTTTTTGAGACGGAGCCTCAAGCTATCCCCCTGGGTAGAGTGCCATGGCATCACGCTCACAGCAACCTCTAAGTCATGTAGGGACATTGAAAAGATTTAGCTGTCCAATTCATAATGGCTCCGTGAAAGCCTGTGTTGAGTTAAATAAGTTCATAGATCTCACTGAGGTCCAAAAAGCGATGGCAGACTGAAGTTCTTTTTCTCCATTCTTTCCTGGCTGGATTTATTTAGTGTTCTTTGTTTACTAGCTCTTCCATTTGTATTTCCTACAAATTGGTTATTCCTAACTCTGGCTGGATCCTGTCTTTTAACTCTGTGGTTATTCTAAACCACTACAGAATCTGAGGACACTATTACATGATTACATTGGATTCTGTTTCTGAAATGCCTATTCTGGGCCATCTTGCTTGTTTTCTTTCCCTTATTTTTCTTCAGTTCACTCCAGCATTTTTTTTTTTTTTAAAGTCACTGTTGATAGTGTCCTTGGCATGGTGACATTTTGATTTTCTGAGCCATCTTTTGTATTTGGGGAGGGGGTATACTTTCCACACTATTTTTTAGAGTGGGCCTTGCTGTGTTGCAATGGGTTAAAGTGTATCTCAGCCTCTTGGGCTCAAGTGATCCTTGCACCTCAGCTTATCAAATAGCTTGGGCTACAGGTGCCTATCACTGTGCCTTACTTTTCTATTTTTTGTAGGGATGGGTCTCACTCTGTTGACCAGGCTGATCTCAAAAATTCCTGTCCTCAAGTGATAACTCCTTCCTTGGCTTCCCAAAGCACTAGGATTGTAGGCATGAGCCCATAATCCTAGTGGGCCCAGCCTACTTTCCGTACTTTTAAATGCAAACATTTCAAGAGTCTCAGCCAAATGACTTCTCTCCTCTTATGTATGTTCTGAGCCTCACATTTCCAAATATTTTCATGACATTAGCTGTCACCTGTGTTTATATGACAACTATATTTCTCATCTTGACTTTCAAGTATCTCTTCTACATGGTTAATTCCTATTAAACATTTTCATGTCAGTGTTCCAGAATTGGTCAAAATTCCCCTTTGCTTATATGTTATTTTATTAAAGGAACATACTATATTTAGTAGTAGTTATCTCTGGGGAGAGGAGAGTGACAAAAATTTTTCTCTCCAAATTGCTGAAAGTAATTTGAGGCTTAAGTCAGGTCTTTAAAACAAAGACCAAAAAAGCCCAAAAGCAAAGGGCTAATTAATTACAGCTAGGGAATAAAAAGGGTGGCAGTGGTTTTCATTCCAAAAATGAATATTAGCATGCCTTATTGGCATGTATGTAGGGTATTACATGACATGTGGAACTTGAAGACACCCTGATTCTTATTTATTCAGACTTAATTGGGCTTTGTTGCTTGTATTTTGAGTTTCTCAGGTAGGTTAAAATTCATCAGTAAGTACTTTGTCTTTAGTGGAAGCAGTTGCTATCTTAATTTGCTATATTATTCAACTGTATGTTTATATCTTAGTGATTGGGCAGTGTACCGCATGTTTTATAGCCATTAAGTAATAAAAGGCATAATTAAACTTTAATGTATTCTAGAATAATATGCCTATTACTTTTTAAAGTGTTATTTTATTGTCTCAAACAAAAGTGGTAAAATCACCTTTTGGTATTTAGTTACTTGAATTCTCTTTTTTTTTTTTTTTTTGAGATGGAGCCTCAAGCTATCCCCCTGGGTAGAGTGCCATGGCATCACAGCTCACAACAACCTCCCAACTCCTGGGCTCAAGCGAGTCTCCTGTCTCAGCCTCCCGCCTCAGCCTCCCAAGTAGCTGAGACTACAGGTGCCTGCCACAATGCCCGGCTATTTTTTTTTTGGTTGCAGCCATCATTGTTGTTTGGCGGGCGGGCTGGGGATTCGAACCCGCCACCTTAGGTGTATGTGGCTGGTGCCTTAGCTGCTTGAGCCACAGGCGCTGAGCCTTGAATTCTCTTGAATTGAAATAAATGTGTCAGTAATGAAAATAGTAAATGGGAATCAGGAAAAAAGATTTATACATGGTCTACTAATTTTACAGATGTGGGAAGAATATCCTGATGTTTATGGGGTCAGGCGGTCAAACCGAAGCAGACAAGAACCATCACGATTTAACATTAAGGAAGAGGTAAGAAAAAAATATTTGCAGGGGGTACATTTACACTCTTTATCTTATCTCATCCTTTCTGACTCTGGTGTGTAAGACTGAACTACTGGCATGGTAGTTAAGTGAATCTAATGTGAGCTTCCTATAAATACATTTAGTAAGAAAAGAAGTTAATCAAATAAAAGAAACTTACCAAAAAGATCGTATTATAGTGAATATTTGAGTACAGTGTTAGAATGCTATGTGGAATTGGCCTCAGTTTTTTTTAATCTCCTTTAAGTTTTTCATAGTGAAAATTGATTTAGTAAGTTTACTTTTTTAAACCTAGCTTTAAAATTTTCGAGATTTTATTTAATGAGTCACTTATTTGGTAAACAAATAAAACAGTGGAAATAGTTCTGGATTTAGTCCCGAGAACGGAAAGTGGAGGGAGTGACCAAAGTTGTTTTACTTATTATCTTTAAATTTGGTTTGCTAGCTAATTTTTGGTATGAGATAGAGTGTGAGTTTCAAACATACTTTGTTTTAATTGTGAGGGATTTAATAGATTGGTGATTTTTAAGTTGATGCTGTACGTCCGGCTTGCTTGTCTGTAGAAATCAGACTTCTTTTACCTTTTCCAGTTTGTGTGACACTTTTGTGGATTCTATGTGCTATATTAGGTTTAGAGACTAGATTATGAAGAGGTAACTTTTTTTATTTTAGTGAAATGTCCTCTTTCTGTCTTCTTAGGAGGACTTTGCTATTCTTAGCTATGTAACTTTGATAGCCAAAGGGTAGTGAGGTTGATGTGGGTTTTTAGGAAATATACTTAAAAAATGTAATTCACCTTAACATCTGCATTACATTTGTGATGTTTTATTTTGAGCGACCTGTGAGCTGGTTTGCCTTTGCTTTCTGTTTATAGTGTCTAGCACTAGGTTCCTGAGCCATATTTGTTATAACCTGTCATTCAGTTGTATAAGTCTTTTCCTCTTCCATGTGTTACCACATTCTCTGTAGGCTCAAGACTAATAGTAACAACAGGAATAGTTTGCCGTGTTGCTTAATTTGAGGGAAGAAGAGTCTACTGGCAAACTTTCCATGGCCTGGTGTTGTTAGTAGAGCACTGATGATGGCTCATGATTGAACATGTTCTTTTTTGAGTCTAAAATGACTAGATCAGTAGTCGGTGCCTTTAAGGCATATCAACTAAATGTTGTAGTATATGATTTTCTAAGTTTTTAGATTTTCATTCTGTTTGTAGTATCCAGATAGTTACCATTTGTTAGATGTGGGTTTTAGAATTCATATCAATTAAAATTAAGTAAATTGAAAATTCTGTTTCATAGAGTAGGCACATTCCAAGTGCTCATTAGTCACATGGGGCTGATGGGTACTGTGTTGGACGTTATAGGTATAGAACATTGACGTTATTGCAGGAAGTTTGATTCGATATTGCTATTCTGAAAGTCAAGCAGAGGTAAATATTTCCTGGGTTTAGAGATCACTCATTCGTAACAGACATTAATTTTTAAAGCAAAAGAAGAATGAGCTCCACCAAACAAGTGCTTGGGTTTCTTTTTGTCTAAAAGCTCATATGGAATAATGCTGTAATTGAGTAGATTGTTAAACTAGGAGGTAGTGTTGTCCCAGAGAACTGTGAATTAAAGTCTGTAATCGTTTTTCCCCCTCTCACACACTGAAGGCAAGTAGCGGGTCTGAGAGTGGGAGCCCAAAAAGAAGAGGCCAGAGGCAACTGAAAAAACAGTAAGTCTTTTATGGGGGAAATTATTTAATTTAGAGTTTTGAACATGTCAGCATTTCAAGGACTGCCTTCCTTGTGTCTTTATAAAGTCTACTCCAGGTCTCAGGGTCTGCTTCTGTCTCTCTTACTAGCTTGGGGTACTGTCTACTTTGCATTTGAATCCCAAGATTCTTAGCTTAAAACACGCAAGGATTCCATATATGCTTAGGCCATTTCTTGGGACAAACCATGGCTGCTTCCATCTGGTTATCCTCATAGGCCCATTTATTTATTTATTTTAAAGGTGCGTGAACAACAGATATGTAGGTATTTGGCATTCCTAGTTAAGCAAGGAACATATTTAGATTTGCCATTTTACATTTTCATTTGTTCTTCGTGTTGTCATGGCAGAATTATTAGTTGGGTATAAAACTATGTATTGTTTCTGTATAATTTCAGTATTGCAGTACATGGGCAGAAAATTTTAATCTTGGGCTTAATGTGAAATTATAATATGGACCACATGTTCATTTTTTTTTTTATTTAAAAAAATTCTGTTTATATGGTAAGAAATTATTTGACATTTTTTGAGAAGTAATTTTTAAAATCTTTTAGAGGCAGTAGATCCCTTTCATAATCTGAATTCTACATCTCCTCTCAGAGAAATGTAAATACTCAAAATTTTATGTATCATTTCAGAGGTTCTTATATTAAATACTTGTCCATGGCTTCCAGTGACCTAAAGTATTACTAATCTTTAATAAGTGACCTGAGGCCAATATTTGATTTAAGTCCATTTCCGTCTCTCCTAAATAAAGTAATACTATTCTGCCTACCCAATAGTGTTATCAGAAGCTAGGCTGAGATTTTATATTGTACTGCTAGAGTGCATTCAATTTTAAAATATTTATTTAGATTTAGAAAAATAGTATCTGTAAGCAAGTCCACATTTTTTGGCATCTTAGAAGAATTGTTCTACCCAAGTCCCGTGGTCTGCTTGGGAGATTCTGCTCTCTGCTTACTTGTTGAATGGCCTTTTGGACATCTTTCCCAAAATGCCCCCGCCTTGACCACACTGTGTGAAATCCATGCATTTGCTCCCTCCTTCACCATCTGCCTCTGTTCTGCTGGTCTCTTGATTAGGAGTTAAATGGTGCTGTGCTTGAAATGCTTGACTTCCCATTTCAGTGGTCTTCCCAGTGTTTGTTGAAGCCTGCATCTTTTTATCCTGTGGGTGACACATCACACTTACTCTGATGAGTGGTTCATGTACTTTGTCAGTCTTAAGAGCTCCCCAAAGTTGGCACCCCTGAGGCCTTTCTTTCCTGATTAGAACTGCTTAGTCCTTGCAGGGTACTATGTGACTTCTCTAATATTGCTTCCGTGTTCTGGGGTGATTCTTTAGGGGTTTGCCTTGAATTGAGATAGTTCCCCTCATGCTTGCGTGTGGGCAATGGGCTGTCCTTCTGCTGTCCTCTGGGCACCTGGTAAGTACTATGGATTTATAGGGAACTCCTGAATCAGTTTTGATTCCTGAAAGATTACTTATAGGAGGTCCTGTAGCTGTTAAGACTAGTTGCAAAGCATAGCAGTATAGGCAGCTTCTGTGATCTGAGCATGTGTGACAGAACTTATTGTGAATTTCAGTGTTAAGACTCAAAAGGAGTGAAAATTTTGAATTATTAGCACAAAGAATTTTCCCTCTGAAGCCCTGCAGATTGTATTTATAGATTTTAGAGTTTTTAGAAAGGAACTGGAAATTTTTTTGTTGTCTGTTTCTCTTTTTTCTCCGTACTGACTTAAGTCTGAAAAAGGAACTGAACTGTACAGGACTTTGGGAGGCCAAGGCAGGAGGATCACTTAAGGCCAAGAGTTTGAAACAAGCTTAGGCAACATAGTGAGACCCAGTCCCTACTAAAAAACAAAACAAAAAATGATTAATCAGGTATAGTGGCACATGTCTGTCGTCCCAGCTACTGGGGAGGCTGAGGAGGAGGGTCGCTTGAACCCAGGAGTTTGAGGTTGCTGTGAGTGAGGCTGATTTCATAGCACTCTAGCCTGGGGAAAAACAGTGAGACTACTGTCTCAAAAATAAATAAATAAAAACCCAGCCAATTTCAAATACTTACATGCAAAATCCAGACCTCCAGCTTTTAGACCTCTAGTTGTTCAGATCCTCCCAGAATGTATAAACCTGGCTTTAATTTTTCTTGATTATATGATCCTCAGGGAGTTAGGATTGTGAGTAGCAGGGCTGGGAATTTGTTAATGCGACTAAGCAACTTGTTTCTCACTGATCTTCAGTTTCCTCTCTTGAGAGGAGGACTTTGGACCATTTGATTTACTAAGTGTTCTTTATTTTCTTACATTGGAAGATTCTGGTTGTCCATAAGTCAATAAATCTGTAACTTAACTGGAAAGCACTGGCCTCAACATTGATTTTCTTAACATTTGCTGCCATTCTGGTCTCCTCTGCTTGTAGAAGTGGTATCAGTGGTGGCCCTATTTTAGGTTCTCAGTTCCTGGAGGAGATACGTAAGTTAGGATGTGACCATGGCTCTTTCTTATTTGATCTGTTCTCCTTGGGTCTTAATTTTTCATGTTGCCCAGGCTTGTTTCCTGTGAAACCACTTCTCTACAGTTTGAGTGAGCCCCTTCTAAAGGGTAAACTATTCTGTACTTGGTCCAAGGGACACTGCAGACTCATGTGCCAGTCCTCTAGTTGCTGTAGACATCTTTCTTTCCACTTTCCTGGTGATCATTTTATTCTTTGAATTCTGTAGCAAACGATTATTGTACGAGGCTCTAGGGGGGCATAATTAGGTCCCCAGACTGTGGTTGGATATAAGGAGATCTTTGTTTTAAAGAGAAACTAAAGGAGGGCAGCGCCTGTGGCTCAAAGGGGTAGGGCACTGGCCCCATATGCTGGAGGTGGTGGGTTCAAACCCAGCCCAGCCAAAAACTGCAAAAGAAAGAAAAAAAAGAAAAAGAAAGACTAAAGGATATTAGGCAATGTTAATATACCTTGCTGTCTTAATTAGTCTGCTTCCAAAGACATCTTACCTGTCTGACTGGTAGACTAATATGGTTCATTAGTTAATTGATTTTTTTTTTTCTTAACAAAGGAACATCTCCATTTGTTTGCCTTTGTGCTGGTGCAAGGATGTATAAAAATGACCTGGCATAGAAGGAGTCATCCATTTTTTGGGGAAATGGTTATGAAAATAAACAGTACTAGTAGAAGTTGAGTAACATGTGAAAAGTACGGAGTGTTCATGGAAGGCATGAATTGTATTTTTTTCCTAAAATCCCTACCAGTTCAGGCATAGCGTGACTGCTGCAACTTTCAGGAAGGTTTTCAGGAATCTGCAGATCACCTACCTTCTTGTGGCTACTACCTCAGTGACTCTCACATGAGGAATACTCACTGGACATTGCAATTCTGCACCAGTTGTCTTTAGCATTACCTCATTCCCTGTAAAGGGATTCAGAGTTGGTTTGATTTATGAAGAAATTCCAGGCACTTGCCTGTAGTTTTTTTCTGAGTATTTCATGCCCAGTAGTATTTCCATGTTTCTTCTTCTACAAGTGAGAAATGAGCTAGGTCTCTGTGATAACCTTGTTTGGTCTTCAAGTAAAAACTGTTTGGGGTAGTAGGATACTTGTAAGTTATGGCTCTTTTAAGCCTTCTAAGATCTCAAGGAGCAAACACCTACCTTATCTAACAGTTTTTAAAAACTACATCTCTAGGCTTGGCACCTGTAGCACAGTGGTTACAGCGCCAGCCACATATACCGAGGTTGTCGGGTTTGAACCCGGCCAGGGCCAACTAAACAACAATGACAACTGCAACAAAAAATAGCCAGGCATTGTGGCAGTTGTCTATAGTCCCAGCTACTTGGGAGGCAGAGGTAAGAGAATTGCTTAAGCCCAAGAGTTTGAGGTTGCTGTAAACTGTGACACCACGGCACTCTACCAAGCTCAACATAGTGAGACTGTCTCAAAAAAAAAAAAACAAAAACAAAAAACCACTGCATCTTTAGCTAACTAGATTATTTAAGTGCATGGTAATTTATCATTGAAAAGATGGTTTTAGGGACTTTTTTCCAAATATATTCTATTGACTTAAGATAGTATAGTAGTTCTCAAAGAAATGTCTGTCAGGTTTCAGCGTCATCTGAATTTGTTAAAATTCAATTTTAGGTCTCACTTGAGACCTACTGAATCAGAAATCTGTCTTTGAATAGGACCCAGAAATGTTTTTTGAAAAAGCCCTTTTTAGGTGGTTCTGATATATGATAAAATTTGGGAACCACTGACTAGTATATGTTAAAGTTTTAATCTTGTCAATGATAGTAGGAAATCAAAATAGAAGGTGAGAAGTTGAGCATCATTTTATTTTCAGAACCAATTGTTCTTAAAAAATTTGTAGTTTCCACTTTATTTTTGTTACTAGAGATAAAATAGGAATAGATGTTATGTAGTCTTAAGAAGCGTCACATCCAAAATTTAGATGGAGCTAGAATAAATCTATTTTCATATCTAAAATATGCCTGTTCTGCCTTTTGGATAATCAAAATTGACTTTTTCTGATTATTTATTTAGCTTTGAAGAATTATTTTAGAAAAAAAATTATTTTATTTTGCTTTTGATCACAGAGAAAAATGGAAACGGGAGCCCTCAGAAGATGAACATGAACAAGGCACCAGTGCAGAGAGTGAGCCAGAGCAAAAGAAAGTGAAAGCCAGAAGACCTATCCCCAGAAGGTGCACTGTTTGCTTAGTCTCTGCTTCTGGGTTAGATAGAGAAGGACCATGTTGCTGGCGTGAGAGCCTGACTCAGATAACAGAGTGTTGACATTCTGGGTTGTTTTTAGGTTCTGTGGTTCACTGTGCCAGTCTACATCTTGTAGATCTTAATGTTTCTTGGTTCATAGTGATTAGTTATGGTGGGACAAATACGTTTTATGCTTTTAAAAAATTCCCTGTGAGGTTCGGACATTACCAGTTCTTTTGGGAGATCTAATTCTTAAGTCTACAACACTGTTTGCCTTTTTTAAAGCACATTAGAGTGTTAATTACCTCGTTCATATAATCTGTAGAACATTAAGCAGAGAATATGATTATGAGAAGGTGGTAAGCTGTGAATTAGCAAGTTTTTGTAATTTGTGATAAGACAGATGGCAACCTAAGGTACTGGTGACAGGAAGAGAAAGGCAGGAAGCCCACAGGCCTTTGGAAATTTGCCTCAAAAATGGGTGTAAGGTGTTAGCCCCTCAAAAAAGCATTCTCTTCTCATTAGTAGATATATGTCACAGTAAGCAGTTAATGATTATTTTAGTTTGAATTTTGTAAAAAATACAAATTTTGTGAAAAGTACTTCACTTTCTTATGTGTCTATATGATGGCCTCAGTTTTGTCTCTTGGCTGGTCAGCCCTGAAGTATTTACTCTATGGCCATTTATAGGAAAAGTTTGCCAACCTTTGACCTTAGAAATTGTATTTGCCCTACAAGGAAATTCATCAACTGAGTTGTCTTTTATCTGAATTTAAGCTCTAAAAACTGAAGTGTCACTCCAGTTCTGTCTTTTAGAATATTACGCATCACTTAATGAATCTTTCCCTGTCTAGGATGTGTTGTGGTAGGCGTAAGAAAATAAATGTGATCATGAGTTCCATTTCCTTTCTTCTCTTACTTCTCTATCTTTTTATCATTGATGGAATAATTGAGGATTTCCTTATTCTGAGAGCTTGTAGACACTGGCTTTCATGGGAATCAGCATGGGAATTTGCAAAGGGGCCATCCTCCCTACTCTGTTCCTGTAGGTCTGTGGCAGGGCACGGTCTCTTAAGTAGTCTTCCAGTTAATGTTTTATGCACATAGGAGAAAAATATGCATGTAGTTATGTCTTGTCTTTACTCCTTTTACACAGATAACATAGTGTTCTCTGCTTCTCTTTCTGCATATTTCTTTCCTTGGAATTTTTCCATATCAGTACAGAGAAAACTCTTTTCTTGTGACTACGTAATATTCTGTTCATTATTATGGCCACATAATATTATTTGGTTCCCAGTTGAACTAATGCTATAGTGAATACCTTATTATTCCTGGGTGGGTTCATATCTGTAGAATGAAATCTTACAAGTAAAATATGTTTTAACCGTGATAGATATTTCTGTATTGCCTACCAAAGAAATGACCATTGCAATGTGTTATGTATATTTTTTCATGTCAAGTGATCCTGAATGATTGAGGATTATCAGTATTAGAATTACCTTCATATTGAAAAATGCAGATTTCTTTATTTTTATTTCTTTTTTGCAGTTTTTAGCTGGGGCTGGGTTTGAACCCGCCACCTTCGGCCCTACTCCTTTGAGCCACAGGCACTGCCCAAGTTATTATTATTTTTTTTTTTTGTAGAGACAGAGTCTTACTTTATCACCCTTGGTAGAGTGCTGTGGCACAGCACTCAGCAACCTCCAACTCCTGGGCTTAGGCGATTCTCTTGTCTCAGCCTCCCGAGTAGCTGGGACTACAGACACCTGCCAAAAAGCCCAGCTATTTTTTTGGTTGTGATTTGGCTGGGGCCGGGTTTGAACCTACCACCCTTGTTAAATGGGGCCGGTGCCCTATCCACTGAGTCACAGGTGCTGCCCCCAAAGGGCAGATTTCTAATAAATTAGAATCTCAGGCATCAGGACCCAGGAATATGCATTTTCAACGTTCCTCAAGTGACTTTATATGTACTACTGCTTTAACAACTTTGCCATTTTCTTCTCTTCTCATTTTAGAACAGTACCCAAGCCTCGTGTTAAAAAGCAACCTAAGGTTCAGCGTGGAAAGAGAAAAAAGCAAGATTCTTCTGATGATGATGATGAAGACGATGAAGCTCCCAAAAGGCAGACTCGTCGAAGAGCAGCTAAAAATGTTAGGTAAGCTGTGTCTCAGAACTTTTTCATTGATGTGAGGGTTAGAACTTGGTTCTAGTTAAGTCCAGAATGAAGTATTTGATAGGTAAAAGTAACAATCTATGTCCTGAAGTTACTTGTAGAAATCTGGTCAGCCTTCTTGCAAAAGGAATGATAATGAGCCAAGGGGAATATGAAAAGAGTAGCAATAGTTCGTATTTCAAGCCTTCATTCCTTTTTTTTTTTTTGAGACAGAGCCTCAAGCTGTCCCCCTGGGTAGAGTGCCATGGCTTCACAGCTCATAGCAACCTCTAACTCCTGGGCTCAAGCGAGTCTCCTGCCCTAGTCTCCCAAGTAGCTGGGACCACAACGCCCGGCTATTTTTTGGTTGCAGCCGTCATTGTTGTTCGGCAGGCCCGGGCTGGATTCAAACCTGCCAGCTCAGGTGTATGTGGCTGGCGCCTTAGCCACTTGAGCCACAGGTGCCAAGCCAAGCCTTCATTCCTATAAAGAGAACTGCTTTAAGTTCATATCTTGTTAGTGGTGGCTTAGTGGCCTTCCATTCATTTCATCATAATACTCTTTTTCAGGAAAAAATGTTTGGGTTATATTCTCACTTCAGAATTGCTCTTTGAATCAAAGTTTTCTTTCTTTCTTCTTCTTTTTTTTTTTTTCTAAGAGACAAGGTCTGTCTCTGCCCAGGCTGGAGTGCAGTAGAGTGATAATATCTCACTGCAACCTCGAACACCTGGGCTCAAGCACTCATCCCACTTCAGCCTCCTGAGTAGCTGGGACTACAGGTGTGCTGCTCCATCGCATTGGGCTAATATTCTGTTTTAGTTGTAGAGACAAGGTCTCTCTGTTTCTCAGGCTGGTCTATAATTACTGGCCTGGAGCTATGCTCCTTCCTCAGCCTCCAGAGTGCTAGTCTTATAGGCATGAGCCACCACACCCAGCCCTCAAGCAAAATTTTCTAAGGTTCAGCTTATGTACTGATACTTAGATACAATAATTTTACCAAGCCAATTTTACTACCTTAGTAGTAGGATATTAGCATTAACAGAAAGTGAAATGAAATAGATACATGCGAATACTAATATTTTACTTTATAGGGATCCAAGAATGTTTAATTTTTCTTCAAGCATTTTCTTTTCAGAGGATTTTAAAGGTTTTATTTTAGAGATGATGAAACTGAGTCCTGAGATCAATAATTCCAAAGCTAGGACCAGGGACTTAAGTTTTTAGCATGTTAGTGTGTAATCAGCACTTTTTCTACTGGAGCAGTACTGCACCAAGATTATGTGTTATATTTCATGACTCCTAAGCCATTTGTTGTTAAAATATGGTAAAAAGTTACATTTTAGTATTTTATTACCAGGAAGTGCAGGTATTGAAGTTCCCAACAGTTTATGAGTACTTAAGTTTTGTATTCTTTTTATTGGAAGACAAAATATAGTGTTGAAGCATTTAATCTTAGATTTAATGTTTCATATTAATGGTTAATTGTTTAACCTTAGTTGCTTCTCTTTTATCTGATGAAATAGTGGCAGTGTTTTTGTTTCAGTGTGCTTTTTCCTTTGTGGTAGTTTCCTTGTTTACATAGTATCCATACTAAAAAATGAAAAAGATGGGAGTGTCCTGTAGTTTTCTGTATCATGGTTACACAAGATAAATATGTTGTATTTTTATTTTGAAATATGAGTTAGCCTTCCTGCAGTTATCTTTGAGCACACATCAGTACTTAAATAGGGGAAAAAACCCACTTTTTATTTTTTTGGCAAATCTGTAAAACAGCATGTTACAACCAAAAGCCTATGGTTTCTTATTCTAGTGATGTTAGGCATGAAAGGGTTTAATTCTGGAAAGATAAGTTTATTTTTAGATACTTATACAGCATCATTCCTCCTGCAGTTATAAAGAAGATGATGACTTTGAGACAGACTCAGATGATCTCATTGAAATGACTGGAGAAGGAATTGATGAACAGCAGGATAATAGTGAAACAATTGAAAAGGTCTTAGATTCAAGACTGGGAAAGAAAGGAGGTATGTGTGGAAACAAATTATATTTTATGTCTACTCAGGATTTTAATTCATTTGTGATGAATTTTAGTCCCTACCTGTGTTCATTGTGAACGTAGAAGTCTTTCTGATCCAATCTTAATGTTTCAGAGTTGACAACAAAGGAATGTGTCTAATATGCCTTTATAATTTTAAGTTAGTATAGATACATTAATGTTTTATTTATTTATTTATTTTTTGAGACAGAGTCTCATTTTGTCGCCCTCGGTAGAGTGCCATGGTATCATAGCTCATAGCAACCTCAAACTCTTGGGCTTAAGCGATCCTCTTGCCTCAGACTCCCAAGTAGCTGGGACTACAGGCGCCCGCCATAACTCCTGGCTGTTTTTTGAGATGGGGTCTCGCTCTTGCTCAGGCTGGTCTCAAACCCATGAGCTCAGGGCAATCCACTCGCTTCGGCTTCCCAACAGGCGTGAGTCACCCTTCCCGGCCTTAAATTAATGTTGTATAAAGCAGTGATGTAATAGAGATATTTGCTCCTAATCTACTTTTAATTGTTTCTTAGTTATGTGAAAACACTGTGAAAAAATTGGTTAAAGACATATTTGGATAATACAGTGAAGATATTTTTGTATCTAATTTAGATATCTAATGGCTCTAAAGTAACCTTTCCATAAGGGAAATATCAAAATAATACTTAATTCCTTTTCCTTTGTGTTTTTTTTTTTTTTTTTTTTTGTTTTCTCATTCTGGCTTCAGAATGAGAAGTTAAGTGAGTTAACAGGAACTCTGGATGGGAGGACATTTGTTGGGGGAGATATATTTTGAGTTTTTATTCTTATTCCTGGACAGAGAAAGTTGTTTTCTGAATTTATAAGGAATCAAAACAAAAGGCTGTTACTGCTTTTATTTTTATTGTGTTTGTGAAGGAACTGCTTTGATTTCACCTGCAAATTTTGTAATATGATAAAAATTGTAATTTGTAATATGATAAAAATTGAGTTTATAATTAAAAAATATATAGTATTTGAAATTACTGATTAGATGACTCTAGCCTGTGGTGTTTGTGAGTTTCTACTTAAGTGAAAGTATTTTGGTGCTTTATCCAAAAAGAGAGTCTTCAGAGAATTGCTTACTTGGTAAGTTTTTCAATGTCTAGTTTCATACACTGTGTTTAAATTTTAATTTAATCCTTTTACAGCCACTGGAGCATCTACTACCGTGTATGCAGTTGAAGCTAATGGAGACCCTAGTGTGGACTTTGATACTGAAAAAGATGAAGGTGAAATCCAATACCTCATCAAATGGAAGGGTTGGTCTTATATTCACAGCACATGGGAAAGTGAAGAATCCTTACAGCAACAGAAAGTGAAGGGCCTAAAAAAACTAGAGAATTTTAAGAAGAAGGAGGATGAAATCAAACAATGGTACATTTTCCATCATAGAGGGAAGGGATGGTTTTTAAATAATGCATGGAGAACACAGCCATCTAGGATCTCAGAGTTTGTGCCTTGATCACTTGAGCATGAAGTCATCTATAATTCTTTTTTGTAAAATTGTGATGTGATGACTGTATATTTTTGTGTGTGCTGCCAAGTCTTTGTTATTTAATATTAACTAGCTCACTGACCATTGTTTATACAGTCTGTCTTTAATCTTCACAATAAATGCATGAGATTTGTACTATTGTTATTCCTGTTTTAGAGATGGGAAGAATAGACCCATATCTGCAGTTCTGGTGGCTTGGCTCCAGAGTTCATTTTCTTTTTTTTTTTTTGAGACAGAGCCTCAAGCTGTCCCCCTGGGTAGTGTGCCGTGGCATTACAGCTCACAGCAACCTCCAACTCCTGGGGTCCAGCGAGTCTCCTGCCTCAGCCTCCCAAGTAGCTGGGACTACAGGCGCCCTCTACAACACCCGGCTATTTTTTGGTTGCAGCCATCATTGTTGTTTGGCGGGTCCAGGCTGGGGATTCGAACCCGCCACCTTAGGTGTACGTGGCTAGCGCCTTAGCCGGTTGAGCTATAGGTGCCGAGCCCAGAGTTCATTTTCTAAAGGATCTTGTTGTTTTCCTGTGGTTAGGCTGGAATGGCTTAGATTTGAAGAGTTAATATTCTGGATCTCTCTCTATTATGATACACTTAAGATCTTGGTTTTAAACAATTATTAGAAGTGATGGGAAGGGAATGATTACATAATTTACAAAACTATTATAGTCCTTTGTGTTTTTAGTTTAGCTTACATATGTGCATGTGTTAGGTTGCATATGAGGAATATATGGTCCCATAGCACACACAAACTTGAGTAATGAGATACCAAGTTCATCCTGAAGACACACCTGTTAGTGCAGTATTAGCAGATAATTTTTGTTTGAGGAGTATGGACAAATGGTTCTATTCTGTTTTTACTACTGTGCAAAATGTGCTACTTTAGTAAATTACGTATTTTCCTTTGACTGAAAACCAAGATATGTATCCCTAAGATAGTGAGGCAATCTGAAATTTGCAATCCTCTAAAATAGAGCAATAACTAGTATCAAGTTTCTGATGTCCTTTTAAAGATTTTTGCTACTAAAAATAACTAGTTTTTCAACAAGGTCAAGTTTAATCAATCCCTAAACTCATACATTTATGAAAAAAGTTTTTTTTTCCTTTTTTAAATATGTAAAACAGTTTTGTTGTCTTGATCTATAACTTTATTACATGAAATCACATGAACTTAGGAAGTATAGTCACTTTTAGGTTTCGTAGAGAGAACACAGTAGCGGGGTGCATAACTGGTAATAACCTCCTATGAGCCTAAGGTTTTTGTTGTTTTTCAAAAGTATGTTTTTTGTAAAATCTCTGGCCTAGTTACTAGTAAAGGTTACGAAAGGGACAGGTAGAAGTAAAAAATAGGTTTTTTTTTTTCCCCTCCTTTCCCTTTGCCTTAGTGTATCATGTATGGATCACCAAACTCTAATTAGTGTGTGCTTTTTCTGTCTTCCATTCAGGTTAGGGAAAGTTTCTCCTGAGGATGTGGAATATTTTAACTGCCAACAGGAGCTGGCCTCGGAGTTGATTAAACAGTATCAGATAGTAGAAAGAGTAATAGGTAAGTACGTGGAAACTTGTTGTAGCCATGTTTGAGCTCAAGGAATAAAGGCCTTTGTTTTGGGGAGTAAGTAAATTAACATTTTGCAGGTTAACATTTTTGAGACAACAGAGATATCTAGATTTATTTCAAAGAAAAAGCTAGCAGGATATGCTGGTAAATTTGGATGTGGAGGATGAGAGAAAGTGCTGTCAAGGATGATGTCCAGGTTTTTGGCTTGAGGTTTTAGGTGATAGAGGTACTATTTACTGAAATGGAAAGATGGAAGGAGGAATTGATTTTTGTAGTCAAATCCAAGAGCTTTGTTTTTTTTTTTTTTTTTTTCCCCGAGACAAGGTCTCACTGTGTCGCCCTGGGTAGAGTGCTGTGGCGTCACGGCTCACAGCAACCTCAAACTCTTGGGCCTAAGCTATTCTCTTGCCTCAGCCTTCCAAGTAGCTGGGACTACAGGTGCCCGCCACAACTCTCGGCTACTTTTTTGTTGTAGTTGTTGTTTGGCAGGCCTGGCCTGGGTTTGAACCTTGTCAGCTCCGGGGTATGTGGCTGGCGCCCTTGCTGAGCCTCCAAGAAGAGCTTTGTTTGATGTTTTTAAGTTTGGTATTTTTCTTAGTCATCCAAGTGGACTGTATTGTGAAGTCTGGTGCATATGTGAGCCTGGAGCTTAGAACTCTTAGTCTAGGCTGGATGTGGAATTTTCCTCAAGATCATCAGAAATAGAAATACATGGTGTGCAGAGGAAGTCTGAGAGCATTTCAGCTTTCAGATGTCAGAAAGAAGCTAGCAGAGGAGACTGAGAAATAACAGCCAGTGAGGTAGGAGGAGAGCTGAGAGAGCATGGGGTATAGGAAGCCAAATGATTCACATGGCTGAGAAGGACGGAATGCTCAGTCTTCTGTGAGGACTGAGACTTGATCCTTGCGAATTTGGCCGCAGGAATGGCCCTGGTGAAAAGACCTTTGGAGTGATAAGTGTAAGCCAGAGTGAAGTGAATTCAAGACAGAGTTCCATAAAGGGGAACAGAGAAAAGGGGTGCTAGCCTGAGAAGGATTATTTTTTTCAAGATGTGAAATGGTAGACTATATTTGTATTCTTACTCATAGAACCTAACTAAAATCTCTTTTTTTCATCATTATAGTTACAACTTTTCTTTCCTATTTTGCATTTGTTTAGCTGTGAAGACAAGTAAATCTACATTGGGTCAAACAGATTTTCCAGGTAAGCAAGAGATCTTATGTATGTTAAGCATTTAAGAGCAGCTTGTGTTTTGAAGATGATTAGTTTTTTCTACCTGGTGTTTTATTGGTTATGTGTAAAATAGAGCATCACTTCCCACCTTTAATTAATAGTTGCTGGGCAGTGCCTGTGGCTTAGTGAGTATGGCGCCGGTCCTGTATACTGAGGGTGGCTCCGGCCAAACTGCAGCAACAACAATGACAAAAAAAATATCCGGGCATTGTGACGGGTCCCTGTAGTCCCAGCTACTCAGGACGCTGAGGCAGGAGAATCACCTAAGCCCAAGAGCTGGAGGTTGCTGTGAGCTATGACCCACAGCACTCTACCAAGGGTGACAAAGTGAGTCTCTGTCTCCAAAAAAAAAAAAAAAAGAATTGCCTACCGTACCAGGTTAAAAAAAAAAAAATTAATAGTTGCTGATCTATAAATTTCTGTATATGAAATAGCTCACAGTCGGAAGCCAGCACCTTCAAATGAACCTGAATATCTTTGCAAATGGATGGGATTGCCCTATTCAGAGTGTAGCTGGGAAGATGAAGCCCTGATTGGGAAGAAATTCCAGAACTGCATCGATAGCTTCCACAGTAGGAACAACTCAAAAACCATCCCTACGAGAGAATGCAAGGTGTGGTGATTGTTGTCTTTTGATTTTTCAAGGGAAAGGCGTATTGATACAAATGGTTTGTCACAGAAATACCGAGAAAAGAAAATGTTGCAAAAGTAAATGATGATTCCTATTTTGAAGTGAAAGCAGGTAGCTTAAATGTGATATTAAAGAAAATAAAGCAAAAGGAGAGGATGAACTATGTAATAGCTTTGCTGACTTATTTAATCAGCAGACATTTATAATTTACAGAATTGGAAATAGACATATGGTAGAGAATACTTGAAAGGATTTAGGCACTTTAAAAGAGAAATAACAGGAAAGGGGGAGTGTCTTTGAATTCTAAGTTAGAAACTAAATATATAGCTTATTTGCTAGATTGGCTATGCAAATGATTTTCCTTAGAATTTATTCCTTGTGGAAAGTGGTGTGTGTGAATCCTCAAAGTAATCAAAGTATATATATATCAGACATGGGCTCTGTCACTGAGAGGTTGATGTTCAAGTTAATGGCACCAGAATTCTACCTGTGAAAACTAGCGTGTAACTGCAGGTCACCCAAGTGTGATAGAGAAGTATAGGTGTGGACGCATTTGCACACCAGGGGTCTAGTGAGGGGTTTTAAGAGCAAGTTCTGGTGTTTGCCCTGCCCTTGGCTCTTCAAGATGGGTTGGTGCTGCTAGATAGACAAGAGGGGCTCAGGGTATTTCACTCCTGTGAATGGTATAAAGAGAAAGATTCTAAAGGAGAATTTTCACACTTCAGCGGTGGAAAGGAGGATGATGATGGTGAGTGCCTTGAGGTCAAAATTTGTCTTGACTACCTTGAAGATTATTTTGACTTTATTGAGTAGCAGCAGGTAAAGCAGTACTTTATTGAGGATGTTTCATCTAATGGCAGTGTGTAGCAAAGTCTGGAGTAAGTAATTATTAAAGCCAGAAGGTTTAGCCAGTAGAATGTCATAGAAGTCCCTGAATGAAGAATTAGTGTGAAGACCAGCTAAGTAGTAGTGGCCTGGACGTATTGGGTAGGAGAATAGTTATGGGGTAGGTTTGGCTGGAGTAGATGGATGACTGGTGTTCAGAGTATGAGAGTGAGGAGTCAGACTCTATTCAGTGTTAGGTGCCCGCACACAAGTGCTTGAAACCATCGGTAAGTGTATTAAATACTTTTTTTTTTTTTTAGAAAAAATAGTTGTTTTTCTTTTTTTTCACTTTGTTGCCCTCAGTAGAGTTCAATGGCATCATAGCTCACAGCAACCTCAAACTCTTGGGCTCAAGTGATTCTTTTGCCTTAGCCTCCTGAGTAGCTGGGACTATAGGCGCCCACCACAATGCCTGGCTATTTTTAGAGAACAGTCTTGCTCTTGCTAAGGCTGGTCCTGAACCTGTGAGTCAGGCAGTCCACTCATCTTGGCCTCCCAGAGGAGGAGGATTACAGGTGTGAGCCACCACTCCCAGCCCACTAATACTCTTATTAGAATGGTACCTCTCATAATAGACTCCATAGAGCACTCACCAATCTTCAGAGAAATGCTCCCTGAAAAAGGACTTCTGTGGATGAATAACTTTAGGATGCATTTCGGAATAAATTTCTGCTGTAAATTTATGCTGTAGACAGGCATATTAGACTTTGAAACATCATGAGTAAAGAAATTTGTGTAACTTTTTGGTACATTATTTCCCAAACCAATTAAGCCACAGAATTCGCCTTACCAAATAATAAGATAGTTGGTCTTACTAAAATGCTATTCTTCAAACCTTTGGAGGTGAAGATAGCAACTTTCACTTAAGAAAAGCAAACTCACACAGTTGGGGGTTTAAGGTAGTGGGGGGATTATTTCAGAATTTAGATAAATCCTGTTATGGTAAAGTTTGGCTGTGTTCAGCATTTGACAGATTTTTGCAGAGGCATTGTTTTGTAGTATTTAGAACAGAGGGTCCTCAAACTTTTTAAACAGGGGGCCAGTTCACTATCTAGTCTCTCAGACTGTTGGAGGGCTGGACTGTGGGCCCCAGGACAAGTTGGCTGCTAAGCAGGATGGGCAGCGGTGGCAAAAACACCTGGTGGGCCGGATAATTGTCCCAGGCAGGCTGCCTGTGGCCCGCGGGCCGTAGTTTTGAGGACTCCTGGTTTAGAATGAGATAACAGATAACTGTGAGAACAGGAGGCTTTCACTGTCATGCCATAGACAAGATATAAAGCACTATTTAATGATGTTCACAAACTAATTTCAGGAAAGATGCAAATTTAAAAATATTTTATTTCAGGATGAACTCTGGCTTTGAGAAGATACACTATGAGGAAGCTGGTGTTTGGAGGGAATGATTTATATGTGCAATTTAAATTTTTATTCTTTGGTACAGAGTACATAAATTGTGGCTAGCTTTTTAATATAGGAGAAGGAAGAGAATTTTCTTGAAACTGGGCTTTGTCAATTTTGTTTATCAGGCCCTGAAGCAGAGACCACGATTTGTTGCTTTAAAGAAACAGCCAACGTATTTAGGAGGGGAGAACCTGGAGCTCCGAGATTATCAGCTAGAAGGTCTCAACTGGCTTGCTCATTCCTGGTGCAAGTAGGTAGAAAAATATGTTTGAAATTTTCTTTTTTGTTAAATGTAAAGAATTACTTCCTCATTCCATTTTATAGAAATAAAATCTTACCCCTCTTAGGTGTTTTTATGTTTGTATAATACCATTTTATTCTGAAATAACGTGTACTTTGTTAATTTCGATATTTGGGGGATCATTTGTCATAGTCAGAAACCTATATTACAATGTTACACAAGATATATAAATAGCAAGTTAATTTGCCCAAATCTTCAATGTGGAAGGAGTTCAGAAGAAAGAAGAAAAAACTTTTTTGCACATTTGTTTTCTTTGGCAGCCAGGGAAACCTTTAACTTAATTTTCTGTGTTAGTGCTGTAGAGTGTGTGGTTTCCCTACCCCTCTTCTCCACCTGTATGGGCTATCCTGGGTAGAGGAAGGTCTCTGATGGTTAAACTTGTGAAAGTATCCTCACTCTTTATAAGAGACCACCTTAATCTTGGAAAAAAAGAGAGATGAGACAGTGATGGCACCTGAGGTATAGAGGTACTTTTGAATAGTACTAAAACACTTCTTTCTCCAAATTCAGTCACAAATTAAAGTAGGAATCTATCAAGACCTTGATAATTTTTTTTTATTAAATTATAGCTGTGTACATTAATGCAATCATAGGGTAACAATGTGCTGGTTTTATATACAATTTGAAATACTTTCATAAAACTGGTTAACATAGCCTTCACCACATTTTCTTAGTTATGTTAAGACATTTATATTCTACACTTAGTAGATTTAACATGTACCCTTGTAAAATGCAGTATAGGTGTGGTCCCACCAGTTACACTCCCTCCACCCATCCTCCCCTCTTCCCTCCCCTCCCCGTCCTCTTTGCCCTTCATCTTGGGCTGTAGTTGGGTTATGGCATTCATATGGAAGTGTGGGTGTTTATAAATTGGTAAGACCTTGAGAATTTAACGGTGTACTCAGGCAGACATGATTTCCTTGTCCTTACAGAGCATACAGTATAGAAGTACCTTTAATGACCACCTATATATTCTTTTCCTTACATACAAACTCTTAGTTTCTTCAGTGTTTATAGTAAAATAAAAATATTTTAGAATTAAAGTACTGTCTAAAAATAATAATTTGGTTTTTTTCTCAATGCCAAAAGGAAGGTTTCGAGTTATAGAGATACATTTACAATGACTGTTTCCCAAGTAAAAACCATCTACTACTCTTTGTACTGTAAAATGTAATGTAATAGTTAATACTCAATTACGAAAGTATCTTCAGAAGCTTCATTTTGTACGATTGAGAACTATTCCAAATTGTTTGTAAATGATCTTCCTTTTAGAGGATAGTGGGACCTAATCTTCCTAAAGGATAGTTACAAAGCTAGATTAATTTAAAGAAATTGTATAATCTGGCTCGGTGCCTGTGGCTCAAGTGGCTAAGGCACCAGCCACATACACCTGAGCTGGCAGGTTTGAATCCAACCCGGCCGTGCCAAACAACAATGACAGCTGCAACCAAAAAATAGCTGGGCGTTGTGGTGGGCACCTATGGTCCCAGCTACTTGGGAGGCTGAGGCAGGAGACTCCCTTGAGCCCAGGAGTTGGAGGTTGCTGTGAGCTGTGATGCCATGGTACTCTACCCAGGGCGATAACTTGAGGCTCTGTCTCAAAAAAAAAAAGAAATTGTATAATCTAACCCTCTCATGTTATAGTTGAGAGCTGTTAGGAGCAAAAGTGCTGTGTACCTTGTCCAAGGGTGTATGCAGTATTTCTTGTACAGTCATTGGCCAGCATTTTTTTTTTTTTTTAACTTTAAACTCAGAACATAAAAGTTAACTTAAAAGAGCCCAAACAGGTATTAAACTCTGGTCATAGACATATTCCATTAAGTGATGTGCTCTTTTGGTTGGGTTTCAGAAAGGCAGGAGTATCAATTCATTTTTCTTTTTTTTTTTGAAACAGAGCCTCAAGCTGTCCTCCTGGGTAGAGTGCTGTGGCATCACAGCTCACAGCAACCTTTAACTCCTGGGCTCAAGTGAGTCTCCTGC